ACACACTCACGCACACACGTGTGCACACAAACACACACATACACACATACATACACACACACACGCACACGCCCACACATGCCCACACACCTTTTGGACCTTTGGACCTTTTGATGCCCATCGCCAGAGGCGATGATAGCGGAGGCCTAACACCAGCAGAAATTACGCTAGAATGTCGTTTACACGACAACACTGGACTATTTTTGCGTTTTCGATCCAGTGAAGCTGCTTTCGTTTTCGGAAGTTTACACAAGAACGCTCTGCGTGCATGGAAATGCAGTCAACACGTGCCGTTCTGTTGAATTTTGGCCGCGAAAATACGGTCTAGTATCCCGATCCCGTTTCTGCAGTAAATACCGCTGCACCAACTTCTCTACTTTTGAACGGTGCAGTAGATGAGCTTGTTGGATGGCCAAATGATTGCCGGTCTGGACTGCAAAGAGTGTACAGAGAACGGCTACAGCGATCACACTTCTGTTGTGCGCCTCCAGTGAAGAGCTCACAACCGGGGGCATGGTTGCACCCAGAGAACAACTGAACGTTGGCACTATCGGGATGACGTTTGTAAAGGACGCTGCACGAAGATGGCCTTGTGATGGGGTTGTGAGCATGATGAAATAATTATTAGAACTAATCCAGGACTCAAAAAGCTCTCTTTCTCTGGACGTCTCTCGATCTCTCTTTCAATTATTCCGCTATTTCCGTAGCCATGGCACAGAAACGATGAGGTTCCGTTTTCGCTGTTTCACAGTTGGGATCCGGAAAAAAAGTTGCGTTTCCAGACCTTGGCGAGCGTTTCTATTTTGTTCCGTTTCGCGCTTGCGCTTCCTCCGTTTTTGTGTATTGTCTTGTAAACGAAAGTCCAAAATGCGCTGGCAGCGTTGTCGTGTAAACGGACCCTTCGTAACTTGTGCCACTACACCACTACTACCCAGCTTGGTCCACACCAAACAGCTACTGTAGTGTCACGTATAAAAGCATGACTTGTATAGAAGCATGATTCGAATAGAAGCAGGTTTTTGAAGCACGCCCTGACACAGAAGCATGGTTTGAATAGAAGCCGCTCTCTGCAAAGTACAGGTGCGAGTACATGTGTGGCAGTATGCACTGCACAGTGCAGACTGATGATGTTGACGTAGAAGCATGTTTTGAATACAAGCACAACTTTAATAGAAGCATGGTTTGAACACCGGCTTATACAGCCATAAACACCTTGTTTTATACGCGACATTGCGGTATTGGAAGTGGCTTCTTCTGGCTAGTGATTCCCTATTTTTTGGTAAATTTTCATTTTTTTCTGGTGCCCAAACCGTCGGTAATGCGGACACCCCAGAGGATCTCGGCTATGCATCGCATCAAATGGCCAACATTATTTTAACGCTTTAAAGTTAAACATTATACTCTTCGCACATTCTCTGCACCACAATTATGCCCCACCACATACACTCTCGCTGCATACTACTAGCAGCGTGCAACCTTCGTATAATTTAGGTCGCTCTCGTACTTGGCACTTGCCAACTCCGCGGACTGATCGCTGTCTCCATTCTCTCCTGAACAAGGCCTTTCTTAACTTTAATTGCTTGCCCGCCCAGCTTCGCGAAATCCCTTCTCGTACTCTCTTCAAATCCCAGATATCCCTGCTGTTGCACAACTCTGTATGCTCGTGTAGCAACCACCCCTGCCCGTACACTTAAGTAGTCATGTTTTATTTTTTATTTTTTTTATTAAGTCCACTATGCTCCTGAATGAATGCGGAAAGTGGTGGCGGGGCCCTGCTGCTCAGCCTACGTTGGTGGTCTTGACGTCTGCACAGACAAAGCGCGATAGAGAAAATAGAGAATGACATAGGAGATGTCCGCGCTGCGTGCTCAGACAGACTTACTGAATTTGCCGTTTGATCGTCGTTCTGCAGCGCTGTAGTATTTCTCTTCCTCTGTTAGTTCTTTCTCTTCTGTCTGTAAGCGCTTACTGTCACCCAGCGCTAGATGCAAGCACCCCCTGGCAGATTCATACTACAGTGTTCTACTTGATAACTCAGGTAGAATAAGGACACTTTTCTGGTGCCGCTGTACTTCAAGATCAGCGCTGCAACTCGCCATGGTGATAATGTGGCTGACGTCATGTTACCAAGGAAAACATGGCGTTTGGCCGTGTTCGCCGCACTCGAGCGCTCACCTTTTTTTCACAATCTTGTTTTGAAAATACTTCAAGTCTTTTGCAGCACTTTTGGAGGCCAGTCACATCGCGATCTGTACGAGTATCTTTATCATGGCCATTGTCTTGTGTCGTTTTGAGCTCGAATAGCTTTCTCTGATGAAGGATTCAAAATATAATCATGACGTTCTCTTTTATCGTGGGCATGAAGCTCCCCACTCGCAGCGGGGATGACATCGGACGGAATAAATGTGTTGAGTCCCGAGCAGGACTTCTGCTGACAAAAGTGATTAGCTCCTCGCGACCTGGGGCATGTGAGGACTACAGTTCTAGTTGGGCAATACCCCACGGACACATCTAGCTGGAAGCGCAGAGTCGATTGAGAAAAATGTCATGACGTTCTCTTTTATCGTGGGCATGAAGCTCCCCACTGGCAGCGGGGATGACATCGGACGGAATAAATGTGTCGAGTCCCGAGCAGGAGTTCTGCTGACAAAAGTGATTAGCTCCTCGCGACCTGGGGCATGTGAGGACTACAGTTCTAGTTGGGCAATACCCCACGGACACATCTAGCTGGAAGCGCAGAGTCGATTGAGAAAAATGACCAAGATCATAAAGAAGGCTTGTTTGCTTCCACAAAATGTTTTAGTAGCCGAGTCCACGCACTGAAAACTGCACTTGCATTGTTCCTGTCCAGTCGACTAGTCATACAGTACATCAGTGCAGTACAGAGTGCACTTGCAAGTCACAACGACACGAGCACAGTCGCGTGTACAGACTCAGTTCACAGTTGTGACCAGCGATCGCGCGTGGGAGTCAAGTACCCTACTCAAGTGCGCATGCTCGGCTCGCTGCATGCACTGTCTGTAGATCTACAGCAGATTGCTGGTGTGATGCACTACATCATGTACAGCGCAGTCATTTATGTGTAAGAGACAATGTCGGCTATTTTGAAACGGCAATGACAGCTTCATCCATAAACGCGGAGCGTGGGGAATGTCTTTGGCGAATGAGAGCTGTTGCATTGGCTAGCTGTACATCCCAGCAAGCGGGAATGTGCTGGATATCGATACTAAACACCCGTTCATCGCGGTGGTGAGTCTGAACAGACCCCGAGGTACGACAGCTTCGTATACTAAATGTGTACAGTGCGTATGGTGAAACAAGTCGATACAGGTTTCCAGCGAAATGTTGTTATCTATGTACAATATCCACCAATATCCTTTATCTAGGGCCCAAAGGCTATCCAGTTCACCAGGATTTGTGGCCTTACTATTTTTCGTTTTCTCCGCGTTTTGGGTTGAAATCTGAACATAAAAAGTAGCACTGATGACGTCATTCAGCTCATAATTTAAATTTGATATTGGAAATCGATGACAACTAACCCAATGTATCACCACAGAAAATTTGGTTGAAAAATATTAATGTATGCCAAAGTTATTACCAATACAAGTTTTGTACACACATGATCACCTTATTATACCTGAGAAATTTATTGTTCTCTCAAAGTTATTCCTTCGTTGTGTTCGAACTGTTTTTGAATTATTTTCGTTTCTTTCTTGCCAAGTGCCAGCTGCCGAAGTGTGCAGTCGCAGCAGCGCCATTTTTGAATAATTATTATGTCATTGATCATGTGATCACGAGCGATTGTTGCTAGCGCTAGATCCGCGGATCTGCTAGTAGTGGTACGCATGCATACGTACGTGTAGTTTGACTTGCCTGCGATAGTTTTCTGTGATCTGCTGTTTTGCACTGGAATCGCACTTGTACTTTGACCTCTTCACACTTCTCCTTTTGGCAATGCGTGTCCTAAATCTCTCCGCGAAGTTTCCGCTGATCCCGCGCGGGGGTTCTCACGCACCGTGCGGCGCAGTACGGAATTTTGCACTTGTTTCTTTTCTTGTATCCTTTTTTGGTTTCCTAGCACCTTTTCGGGACTGTTCCTCAGGGCAAGAAGTAGCCTTGTCTTGGTGGCTTTCTGGTTCATGGTAGAGTTTTTTCTTTGGTGCTCATAGAGTTTGCTTCGTCTTTCTTGGCTTATTATCACATTTACACTATCGTCATACTAACCACAGCTTTGGAGTGTTTTGGAGTGTTGGCGAAATTACATGGTCCTTCGAGCCGGATTTCTATTGGAGAAATCAATAACGAACAGCACTAAAGAGTTCGTACGGGACGCTGCTGAGTCACGTAACGAAAGCGTTCTGATCGCGATCGTTTCTACGTTGGGTGGAAGATTGTTTGGTTTTGTTAGTCATGTCCGTCAGGCGAAGCCAGCGGGAGTCACGACGACCGAACTGGTACGGCGTCGACGCGGACATGGAAACGCCCGAGCCCTCGGTGAGGGAATATTCAGTTGCTCCGTCACTCGTTGAGTCTGTTACTAGTAGTGTTAGTACCGTACGCAGGGCGAAACTGGCCGCACAACTCGCCTTTTAGGAGAGACTTGCCGATTTACAGCGGCGACAGCACCAAATTGAGTTGGAGAGTGCTGAAAAAGTCGAGGCTATCAGAGTTGAGATGGAGATGGCGGCCATAGAGGAAAGAACGTCTGGTGAGCGTAACACGCATATGGGCACACCGACAAATTTGGCACCCACACCAGCACCTCGAGCCAGAAGTGCGCGTGGGCGTTTGGATAAACCGTCGCCACCGCCGAAACCACCGTCCATGCGGTCAGCGGTCGGCACTGTGGCAGAGAGTGAGGCAGCATCCGTAACCTCTCTGCACCAACAGCTGGATGCACAGCAACGAGAGCACCAGCTTAAGGGGATCGTGCATACCAGGCCATGCTCCAGCGTCAATCGGAACCGGTCGAGCAGTTGGCATCAGCTTTGGGGGCTGCCATGAAGGCCATGGCGCCTAACAGCACTGATCATATGAAGCGTTTTGTCGCTCGGCAGAGTGCCCACAAAGATTTGCCACTGTTCTCTGGGAGCCCCGAGGAGTGGCCCGCCTTCCTAAGCTCATATGAGCGGTCAACAACGGAGTGCGAGTTTTCTCCAAGTGAGAACATGGCTCGGTTGGCAAAGGCGCTAAAGGGAAAGGCGCGAAACCTTGTGGCGAGAATGCTGACAGTTCCTGACAATGTTGACCAGGTGATCAGCATGCTGAGGCTCAGGTTTGGCAACCCTGACCTCATCATCCAGTCGCTCATAAAGCGCACCAAGGAATTAAACAGCATTAAAACAGTGGATCTGGAGAACATAATCGAGCTCACCAGTGCTGTGCGGAACCTGGTAAGCACCATGGAGCTGTTGGAGGAGACGGATCATCTCACAAATCCGCAGCTCCGCCAAGACATCGTGGCAAAGCTGCCAAATGAGCTGCGCCTCCGCTGGGGAGAGCATGTGCAGAGTCTTGGTCGCCGTTCCACGCTGAAGGATTTGTCAGATTGGCTGACAGAGCGTGCGGCTGCAGCTTACCATGTGAGCCCACCAATCGTTGGCAACACCAACAACAGCGGTGGAGAACAGTCGAAACGGCGGGCCGGTCAACTAATGGCGACTATCTCCGAACAGAAGCGCAAACCAAGGGCATGCGCCTTCTGCGAGAAAGCCGGCCACTCAGTTTCGTCCTGCAAATCATTCAAGGATGTGAGCCAGAGTGAACGGCGTAAGTGGGCCCGGTCTGCAAACCGGTGCTATGTGTGTCTCGGGTATGGGCATGGTGCACGAAACTGCCAACGGAGCAAGCCATGTGGCGTAGATGGCTGCACGAGTCTTCACCACCCTCTGTTACATCCGCAGAACTATGAGCAACAAGGACAACCCAGAGTCTCTGGTGATAGTGAGCAGACTAACTCCATCACGACGGGATCACACGTGACCTGCAGCATGCAGAAGCCATCTGCGAGCGTCATCCTCCGAACAGTACCGGTACGCCTGAGAAATGGCGACAACGAAGTGATGACGTACGCACTGTTTGATGAGGGATCTACAGTGACACTAGTAGACACCCAATTAGCCAAGACCCTGCAAGCGTCTGGCCCAGTGAAGCCGCTGTCTCTCACGTGGACAGATAAGCAGCATCAGCACCATCCTCAGTCCATGTCCTTGAACCTGCAGATTGCTGGGTTGCAGGGAGATGAGACCTTTCAGCTGAGAAATGCCAGGACAGTGAACAACCTCGATTTGACGTGTCAGCCGGTGACGTCTGCAAAGGCGCTGAACCAGTGGCCGCATCTGAAAGACGTGCCGGTCCACACACTCGATAACAAGAAGCCCCAGCTCCTGATCGGCCAGAACAATGTCAGCCTGACGGTCGGGCGAGAGGTCATTGAAGGCGCGCCCAACGCGCCGATCGCCTCGCGAACCAAGCTTGGGTGGGTCGTGCACGGTCGGTCATCTCATCGTCAGGGCAGAGTGGATGACGTCGTTCTGCAAACCATCTCTACCGAGGATGAAGAACTTCACCAGCTAGTCAAATCGTCGTTTAGGACTGACGATTTCGGAGTCAAGGTGCCGCACGCTACAGCCCACAACCGTGAAGAGCTGCGGGCATTTGAGCTGCTGCAGGCGACAACACAGCGGTTTGACAAGACTAGGTGGGAGACGGGGCTCCTGTGGCGCAAAGACGACCCAGTGCTGCCACGTAGCTACGGCAACGCGTTCAATCGACTCCGCAGCCTTGAGCGCAAGCTTGACCGCAACCCATCGCTGCTAGCGAAGTACGACGAGAACATTGCTGAGTATGTCGACAAGCGCTACGCGGAGATTCTATCTCCCCATCAGGCAGCGGTGGACTCCAACACCACCTGGTATCTCCCGCACTTTGGGGTCACCAACCCCAACAAGCAGGACAAGCTACGGTTGGTTTTCGATCCTGCATCGAAAACCGGGGGAAGTAGCCTGAATGACGCCCTGCTCTCTGGCCCTGACCTGTTGCGACCGCTGCCAGCCGTACTGTTTGGTTTCCACGAGGAGGCCATCGCATTTGGTGGTGACATACAAGAGATGTTCCACCAAGTGGTCATTAGGCCACAAGATCGCTGCGCTCAACGATTCCTGTGGCGTGGGCAGGACCGCAACAGCAAACCGACTGTCTACCAGATGAGGGTGATGACTTTCGGGTCAACCTCTTCACCGACGTCGGCGCAGTTCGTGAAGAACATCAATGCTGCCGAGCATCGTGACAAGCTCCGTGCAGTACAGGGTATTGTCGAGCATCACTATGTCGATGACTACTTTGACAGCTGTGCCGAGACCAAAGAAGCAGTCAAGATCGTGACAAATGTGATTGACATCCACAGACAAGGTGGCTTCCACATCAGGAACTGGGTTAGCAACTCACCGACTGTGCTTGAAGCAGTGCCGATTGAGATGCGCGCACCATCAAGCATCGTAAGTCTGGACGTCGATCCTGCAACGTCAGTGGAGCGTACGCTGGGAATGATCTGGGACCCCAGTGCCGACACGCTTGGTTTCCATGTCAGTAAGCTCCGCCTAGAACAGATGCTGACATCCAAAAGCACGACGAAGCGTCAGGCACTCAGCACTGTGATGTCAGTGTTTGACCCACTCGGTCTCGTCGCCTGTTACTCCATCAGAGCTCGAGTCCTGATTCAAAGCATCTGGCGAGCGTCCATTGGCTGGGATGATGAGCTGCCAAGGTCGCTGCAAGGCGAATGGACGAGCTGGTGTGAGGAGCTGACGGAGCTCGGCAAACTGGCAATACCAAGATGCTACAGTTTGAAGCCCGGAGGAGTCGCTAACGTCCAGCTTCACGTCTTCTGTGATGCCAGTGAACTTGCATTCGCCGCCGTCGGCTACTTTCGCTTTCAGCTGAACGACGGAACAGTCGACACGGCACTCGTTACGGCAAAGTCCCGGGTCGCACCGCTGAAGCCGCTGTCAATACCGCGTCTTGAGCTGCAAGCCGCGCTGCTCGGAGCTCGGATTGCAAACGCAATCACTAGCAGCCACAGGATCCAGCCCGACTCCACCGTGTTCTGGAGCGACTCGCGGACCGTACTCTGCTGGATCAAGTCAGACGGTCGCCGCTACAAGCCATTCGTCGCACATCGTGTTGGCAAGCTGTCTGAGCTGTCGAACCCAGATGATTGGCACTGGGTGTCGACGATCGACAATGTCGCAGATCTAGCCAGCAGAGGCGTCGCGGTGAATGAGATCCCGCCAACAAGCCGCTGGTTCACAGGTCCAGCGTTTCTGAAGGAGCCGACATCACAGTGGCCAACGGTACCATCCACCAGTGAGCCTGTTGAGAACGACGCCGATGATGCTGAACTGAAGAAGGAGTTCGTCGGACATGCTGCTCAACGTACAAATCGCCTCTGTCTGCCAGACCCCGAACGGTTTTCGTCATGGCACAAGCTTGTACGCACCACGGCATGGGTAGTCCGCTATGTCCGTAAGCTGAAGGCTAGTGTTGCAAGGAAGTCGACCAAGCTACCAGCTGAGTTGCTGGCGTCCGAAGTTCAGCACGCACAGACGCTGTGGTGGAAGACCGTCCAGCAAGACTGCTTTCCTGATGAGCTAGCATCACTGCAGAAGGGAGAGCCAGTCAGCCGTAGTAGCCGCCTCTACAAGCTGTCAGCTGGTCTCGATGATGATGTCATCAGGGTGTTTGGTCGAACCGATAGTGCAGCCGAACTCCGTCCATCAGCAAAGCGACCAGTGATATTGGACCCAGACCATCGGTACACGCGTCTGCTACTGCAGCAGCACCATGTGTGGAATGGCCACCACGGACAGGAACGCATGGCGAACGACCTGCGCCAGTGCTACTGGATTCTGAAGCTACGCGTGCTGTGAGAAGAACATGGACCGAATGTCAGCGGTGCAAGAACGAGCGTGTCATTCCGCTGCAGCCTGAGATGGGCCAGCTACCAGAGTGCCGTATCACAGCCAATGTCAGACCATTTACGAACACAGGAATGGACTACTTTGGCCCGATGGAGGTCACGGTTGGTCGTCGCCGCGAGAAGCGGTACGGTGTGTTATTTACGTGTATGAGCACACGAGCAGTGCACTTGGAAGTTGCACACAGTCTCACTACCGACGCCTGTATCCAGAGCATCAGACGTATGAGTGCCAGACGAGGGCAGCCAGCCGCCATCTACTCAGATAACGGCAACAATCTGCGAGGAGCAGACCGAGAGCTGCGGGAGAGCATTGGTGAGCTCGATCAGGATCGTCTGACTGCCGAATTGACGGCTCGTAGTATTGAGTGGCACTTCAACCCTCCAGCAGCTCCCCACATGGGTGGGGCCTGGGAACGACTCGTGCGATCCGTGAAAGTTGCTTTGCGAGCATCACTGACGGAACAGCATCCACGTGATGAAGCTTTGCTGACTGTGTTTGCTGAAGCCGAGAGCCTGGTCAATGGTCGCCCGTTAACGCATGTACCTCTGGACGCCGAAGACGACGAATGTCTGACACCCAACCATTTCCTGATTGGTACATCCAGTGCAGCGCTATGTCCTGGAGTCTTCAACAACGCCGACCTGTGTTTGCGCAAGCAGTGGCGTGTCGCCCAAGCGCTCACAGAGATGTTCTGGCGTCGATGGGTCAAGGAATACCTACCTACGCTAACACGTCGCACCAAGTGGCACCAGCCATGCCGTCAACTGGCACCCGGTGATGTAGTTGTTATAGCTGACGACAAGGCCACACGTGGAGTTTGGCCGCGTGGCATCGTGATCGCAGTTCACCCTGGCCGAGATGGCACCGTTCGAGTCGCTGATGTCAAGACAACCACCGGAGTGTACCGCCGACCAGTAGCCCATTTGTGTTACTTGGATGTACGTAAGTAACTGCAGTCAGTTACTGGGTGGGAGAATGTCCGCGCTGCGTGCTCAGACAGACTTACTGAATTTGCCGTTTGATCATCGTTCTGCAGCGCTGTAGTATTTCTCTTCCTCTGTTAGTTCTTTCTCTTCTGTCTGTAAGCGCTTACTGTCACCCAGCGCTAGATGCAAGCACCCCCTGGCAGATTCATACTACAGTGTTCTACTTGATAAATTTATTGTTCTCTCAAACTTATTCCTTCGTTGTGTTCGAACTGTTTTTGAATTATTTTCGTTTCTTTCTTGCCATGTGCCAGCTGCCGAAGTGTGCAGTCGCAGCAGCGCCATTTTTGAATAATTATTATGTCATTGATCATGTGATCACGAGCGATTGTTGCTAGCGCTAGATCCGCGGATCTGCTAGTAGTGGTACGCATGCATACGTACGTGTAGTTTGACTTGCCTGCGATAGTTTTCTGTGATCTGCTGTTTTGCACTGGAATCGCACTTGTACTTTGACCTCTTCACACTTCTCCTTTTGGCAATGCGTGTCCTAAATCTCTCCGTGAAGTTTCCGCTGATCCCGCGCGGGGTTCTCACGCACCGTGCGGCGCAGTACGGAATTTTGCACTTGTTTCTTTTCTTGTATCCTTTTTTGGTTTCCTAGCACCTTTTCGGGACTGTTCCTCAGGGCAAGAAGTAGCCTTGTCTTGGTGGCTTTCTGGTTCATGGTAGAGTTTTTTCTTTGGTGCTCATAGAGTTTGCTTCGTCTTTCTTGTCTTATTATCACATTTACACTATCGTCATACTAACCACAGCTTTGGAGTGTTTTGGAGTGTTGGCGAAATTACAGGAGACATAAGAGAGAGAGAAAAGAAAAACAAGACGAGAGCAAGACATGTACACGGAAGTGCAGCGCCCACACATCCACTGCTGAAGGATAAAGACAAAGGATACATGTATGTTGGATAGGGAAATTGGGGTCAATCAGAACTTAAGCTAATGAAGTCAAAGAGCGTCAGTTGCTCTCTGCCAGTCAAGGCGCAGCAGGTACTTATGGCATCTTTCCCTGAAGATTCACCCACAGAAATTCAGACGGTAAAGGAGCACAACCACCTAGGGGTAATGTTCGATTCATTCATGTCCTGGTCGGCTCATGTAGATTACATTTGTAATAAAGTCAGCCGTGCCTTTGGCTATATTAAAAGTCATTGTAAACATCTCTCTATTCCGTGCCGTTCAGCTATATATAAAATGTATCTCCTTCCATTGTTTGAATATGCTGCGACAGCCTGATGTGGCCTGGCTAAGGTCTTATCCGATTTCAGTGAAGGTCATCATAAGAAAGTTCTAAAAATTTTGTTCTCCAAGAAACCTTCCTTCCTCTCCAATGAGTTGTACTTATTAGCTCAGACTACTCCGTTAGAGCAACGCAGACTAACTTGCCTCTGTGTATTGGTTCATCGAATGCTGTTGGGTTTTGTTCCTGAACATATACGGTCTAACCCAACACGTACGGTCTAACCCAACACGTTAACTTTCCAACTCACGGTGCTGGCGGAATACTTAATTCCTGCATTAATCTTGTTGCCCGTCAGATACACTACGTCCCACATCAGTGCACCCTCTCCCATCGCTGTGCAACTCCGACCACTTAGCCATCTTAGGCATCCTTGAAGTGCCAACTCGACCGACCACGATCGTCGCTGCAGTCCAGCCCAGGAGCTGGTCTTGGTGCTGGGACTCTGACAGAGTCACAGAGCTTATTTCTGTCCTTGGAGACACTACTCTTCTGCCTCCTGGACCACTCTAATCCACGAGCACTGAGGATCTGTGGCAGCACTGGAGGACGAGTCTGCTAAACACTGCACGAAGGTTTTGTACCAAGCCCCACCTAACTAACTAGCGACCGCATGATCATAGTACACGACGGGCACTGAAGCCTTGGATTACGCCGACCCTCAGGAGTGAGATCAAGAAGAAGCACTCTCTATTCAGAACGTATCTATCGACTCGCTCTACTGAATCATGGAGAGCCTACACTGCGTAACGTAACAGTGTCACGGCCAAGCTGCGGTCCGCGAAGTCTGACTATGTGCACGGATACCTAGTAAGAGAGAACACGGTGGATGAGCACTCTGTGGCGTTCAATCGCCGCAACTTGTACAATGTGATGTCCCTCCTTAGAACCTCAGTACAGCGTGGCGTTCCCGACTTGGAATGTGATGGGAACACCATTAGCTCTGACCTCGACAAGGCTACAACCTTCAACAACTTCTTCGTTGAGCAGAGCAGGCAGTCACTCCATGGGTGCACCCGCCCTCCTTCTCCCATCCACACGCCGAGGGTTACTGACAGGACACTCCAGGATGTCACCGCCACTGAAGTGGAGGTACTCGAGCTCCTTCGTCACATTGACACCAACAAAAGCGTCGGCCCGGACGGAATCCCGTCTATTCTTCTGAAGCTCACTGCCGACCGCATCGCCCCTTCCTTAACAACAATTTTCAATCACTCCTTCACCCACGGACAAGTCCCGAGAGACTGGCGAGATGCCATGGTGTCTCCAATCTTCAAGAAGGGCAGTCGAGCCTGCCCCACAAACTATCGTCCTATCTCCCTCCTACCCATCGTATCAAAACTGCAAGAAAGAATCGCCCACAAAGCCCTCTACAGGCACATCCAACCCCATCTCCCTCCAGAACAGTCAGGCTTCAGGAAGAACGACAGCACAGAGTACCAAATAAGCCGCCTGCTGCACGAACTTGCTGCGGACCTTGAGGTCAAGAAGTCAGTCCACGTCTGCTTCTTTGACCTCTCTAAGGCCTTCGACCGCGTGTGGCACCGTGGCCTCTTGCACAAGCTTGAACACAATGGCGTAAGGGGTGCAGCACTCCGCTGGTTTGAGAGCTACCTCCTGGGCCGGATGCAGCGGGTCCGAATCGGAAGCACAGCCTCCGACTGGCCTGACATCCCTGCAGGAGTCCCTCAGGGATCGGTACTCGGCCCGCTGCTATTCCTCGTATACACGATGGACCTACCAGCAGCTTGCAACTCCCAAGCCACACGAAGCAGCCTCTTCCCCGACGACACCGCCTTAATCGCTAGCGACCACTCAGCAGCGGCAGCGGAGCGAGCGCTCCAGTCCAGTGTGACTAAAGCCGCTACGTGGCTCGACACCAGGCACCTGACCGTCAAAGAAACGAAGACGGTCGTGATGACACTGTGCGGTGCTTTCCCCCTGACAATAACGTTGAAAGGCAAAACACTGAACAGAGTCCAGAGCCAGCGACACCTGGGTATCATCGTTCAGGCCGACCTGAAGTGGAATGCACACATCCAGCACATCGAGAGCAAAGTTGCGTGCACTCTCCACCTCTTGAGACGGATCCGTGGACGTCTTTCACCCACCGCCCTGTCAGCACTGTACACCACGTATATACGCCCCGTTATCGAATATGGTTCTCTGGCTATGTCCGCTATGAATGTTCAGCAACAAGATGCCCTCGAACGTCTCCAACGGCGGGCAGCAAAACTCTGCCTCCGACTCCCCCTCTTCAGTCCTTGCCACCACAGTTCGTTACTCCACCACTTCACTTGGCCTACCCTCTCATCCAGCAGGAAGCTCAAGCAGCTACTCTTTGAACACACCATCGCTGTCAAACGATCCCCGGCACACATCCAGCTTGCGACCTCAGGCTACATCACCGAGCCACCAAGCCGAGAATTGAGGCGTCATTGAGTCTTTGCCCTCCCCACCACCCACTCCACCCGCCTTCAACGTTCACCCTTGTACTCAGCATGCACTCAGTACAACCACCTGCCACCACACTGCTACTCCCTCCGAGAAATAAATGCATTCAAAAGAGAAGTTACCCCGATCATAGTATCATCTATTTGCACATGCTCCAACCCCCGCTGTAGCCCAGCATAGGTATAGTATTTTAATCAAGGTATATCGCCTACCTGCCCTCGCAATGGATATACTTCCCTCCTCGTCTTTACTTCAAAATGAAGCACCCAAAC